ATCTTAGTGGTTAGTTAGAATAATCTTATTTTGGAGTTTTTGGATAAAATAAAGCTGTTTTAAATAAAACAGTTACAGCTTATGTGTTGTGATGGCTGTTAAAGTATTTTACCAAAACTAGCATTTATTATATTTTTCAATTATAAATTGCTGAAAGAAAAAAATTCCTGTTTTCAACAAACAGTTGCAGAGGGTAATAATATTTGCTTATTTATTTTAAACATATATTTCTGTCAGTACTAGGAAACCAAAGTACTTCTGGGGGAGAAAAAAGGACCAAAAAGGGAAGTATTTTGTTTTAAATAATTAGAAAATAGTTTTGTAAAATTAAAAAAATTAACATAAAATATCTCCTGAATGGTTAAGTAATTTATAAATGTGCTAAATAATTAACTTAAAAAATAAATGATTGTACCAAGTCATTTACAATAATTTTCATAAATACAGCAATCACTTAAGTATCAGGATTAAATTCTGAAACTAGAGTAATGCACATCATCTTAATTTTATTTTGATTGAAGGAACTTTGTAGTATAGCAGTGTACATGCTTATTTAGTTTTATATAAATCTATAGACTAACATAAAACTGTATTAAAATGAAGTCCAGTATAGAAATAAAATAAATTCAAAGTATTTGCACTGAGATATTTCTAAAATAATTAATTTGGCATTATAAATATTTTCAATGTGTGAAATTTTTATACAAGATAATTGCATTTTAAGCAACTTAAAATTAAGTCAAGTGTTGGGGGTGGTGGGGCAGAAGTGGTACCAGACCAGGAGGATAAGTTAGGAGGTACTTCGGTGATGTTGACAGGAGACACTCAGACTGAGAAGGTAGAGACAAAAAGCAGGAAATGGTGAAAGGAGTGTGGAAGAGGTGAAATTAATGTGACTCGTTGATGGCATGTGTAAATATATGTACTTGTGGTCTCCGAATTGTGGCAGAAGAGGGTGTAAGCAGTGGGAAATCAACAACCTTGAAACGAAGCCTGAAGTCCTTCCAAAGATGGAGTGAATCAAGGTGGTTACTCTCACTGCCAGAAGAAAATTAAATTTTCCAAGGAAGAAGATAAAAGCACAGCTTTTACAGTGGCTCATTACCAAGTCTAGCATTCACCCAAAATGTCTGGAAATAACTCCCAATGACTCAAAACCAAGAGACAGACAATAGTAAAAAATAAAGGACATCCAAATAGTGTAGTTATCACTAAAGACTTTGATAATTGTGTTTTATATATTTCAGAACATAAATAAAATGATCAAGAATTTTTTCAGAAAGCTGGAATCCATAGCAACAAATCAAATGGAAATTTTAAGAATTTTAAAATACAACATCTGAAATAAAGAGCTCAATGGATATGGCTTGAACTAGAAGGTTGAATAGGAGAAAATACTCAACCTGAAGCAGAAAGAAAATGTACAGAAGATACATATGTAATTGGAGTTGAAGCAGAGAAAGAGAAAATGGGACCTAACTAATATTTGAAGACATTATCCCAAAGAATATTAACAACAGGCATCAGGATAAAGATTCAAGAAATTCTCGAAGACATTTGGCGTAATACGAGAGAAAGCTCATTCCAGCACACTGTAATAAATTTGCTGAAAAACAGGGAAAAATCTTACATGTAGCATAAGCAATGAAATTTTATTTTCAAAGGGGCAAATATAAGATTGACAGAAGTCTTCTCAATATAAATAAAAGAAGTAAAAAGACAATAGAATGGTATCTTTGAAGTTTTGGGGGAAAAAAACAAGCTGTTAGATTAAAGAGACAGTAAAAACATTGGCTAATCAAAAAAAGGAAGAACATGAGAAATATGAACTTTCATTTACTAGCAATTATATTCTAAATAAAAGTCTAAAATCTCTGGATAAAAATAATGTAAATAAAATAAAAGTTAAGAAAATATAAAACAAATATTTGACGCCTGTAAGAGAGAAACGTAAAATATTTATATACATAGAATAGTTGAAAGCAAAAGGCTCGGAAGGATACTTTCTGGAAGGACTGAGCAACAGAAGAAAGAAGAGTATATTTTAAGTCAGAGCAGACATGAATGCCAGACATCCATGCTCGGTGCCATTTTGGGTATGTTACACTTGAATAAAATCTATGCATAGGGAAGGAAAAAAGTCTGTCTTCAAACAAGCATATAGAGCAGCACATAGGGGTGAATCTTCAGAAGGAGCGCCTGTTTGGCGCCTGCCCGTCACTCACTGAAACCCTTCCTTCCCTCGTCGGTGTAACACTGAGGACGTGCGCGTGTCAGGGCCGCTGCGCATCTTCCCCGAGGAGCCGAGCCCCGTGGCGCCTCGGGTGAGAAGGCCGCACTGGTCCCCAGGGATGTGATCCCTGGGCGGACCGTGTGCTCACCCCCCGAAGCAGCTTTGCTGACCGCAGAGCTTCCTCTCTGATTGCAGACGCTGGTTTTGGCCGAACTGACTTTTCCTTTCTCACACTTTTTCCCTTTCCGCATGCTTTTCCGCCATGCGGAAGTCATGGGGACTTCAGTCAATGAATTTAGTCTTTCCCCTCACTGGCTGGCGGCAGCCGCTGTGTGACTGTTTTGTTAACACACGATGAATGCTTCACTGAGGCTTCCGTTCGAAGCTTCCGTTCGCTGTGACCTGGGCCTTAATATGCAGAAGGGACGTTCAGTGCATTTGCCAAATCTGTCAGCTGTGTGTGCTGTGGTCCCGGTCAGTATTCTTCTAACGTGTGGTCACCTTTGAGTTCCTCGTGTGTGTGTGTGTGTGTGTCCCCTAGCTTTGTTTAGAGCAGGTTTATTTTCAGAGCAAAACTGAGAGGGAGGTAGACAGCTTTCCGCAGCACCACTGTCTGACATGCGCAGACCCCCACCCCCACCATTATTAAGATCCCACACAAAGTGCTGCACTTTTTTTTTTTTCCCAAAGATGAACCTCTGTGGACACATCATCACCCAACTTCATGGTTTACATTAGGATTCACTCTCAATGCTGAAGTCTGTGGGTTTGGACAAACCTACAGCGATGTGTAGACATCGTTACAGTATCCATCATGTGTCTGTAATATATCCATCACTGCAGTATCATGAAGAGTAGCTTTACTGCCCTAAAAATTCCCCATGCTCCACCTGTTCATCCCGCCCACTTCCCAACCCCTGGCAATGACTGATTTTTTTTTAACTGTCTCCATAGTTGTGCCTTTTCCAGAAAGTCTTGGAGTTGGACTCATACTGAATGCAGCCTTTTCAGACTGGCTTTTGTCACTGAGTCAGTGTGTTCATGTCTCCTCCCTGTCATTCCACGGCTTGGTGTTTATTTTTAGTGCTCAAGAAGATTCCATCCTAAGGTATAATTTTTAAAGGCATTTTGTGGTAAAGGTACATAAAAACTCCAGACTGTGCAAGCCACGCATTATGTGCATGAACCATAATTTTCTTGGCTTAGGCAAGCTTCCATGTTCATGGTGTGATGCAGTCCCTCACCCAGCAGGAAGGGACATCTGCCCACCACAGAGGGTGACCAAGCCTCCCAGTTTCTCCATGCGCACATGTAAAAGTCAAGGATATAGATGAGCCCTATCAAGTTAGCACTTGACTGTGCACCTTAGGTAAATAAATACTCTGATTTGACAGTCTATCAACTCAGCTCACAACAAACTGTGGAAAATTCTTCAAGAGATGGAAATACCAGACCACCTTACTTGCCTCCTGAGAAACCTGTGTGCAGGTCAGGAAGCAACAGTTAGACCGGACATGTAACAACAGACTGGCTCCAAATTGGGAAAGGAGTACAACAAGGCTGTATATTGTCACCCTGCTTATTTAACTTATATACAGACTGTGTATGCTTGTGTGTGCTTAGTCGCTCAGTCACATCTGACTCTTTGCAGAGTACATCATGCGAAATACTGGGCTAGATGAAGCACAAGCTGAAATCAGGACTGCCAGGAGAAATAACAATAATCTCACATATGCAGAATGACACCCCTCATGTGGCAGAAAGTGAAGAGGAGCTAAAGAATCTCTTGATAAAAGTGAAAGAGGAGAGTGAAAAAACTGGCTTAAACTCAACATTCAGAGAATGAAGATCATGGCATCTGGGCCCATCACTTCAAGGCAAATAGATAGAGAAACAATGGAAACAGTAACACGTTATTTTCTTAGGCTCCAAAATCACTGCAGATAGTGACTGCAGCCATGAAATTAAAAGACACTTGCTCCTTGGAAGAAAAGCTATGACTAACCTAGAGAGCATGTTAAAAATCAGACATTACTTTGCTGACAAAGGTCCATATAGTCAGAGTTATGGTTTTAACAGTAGTCATGTATGGATGTGAGAGTTGGACCATAAAGAAGGCTGAGCATTGAATAATTGATGCTGGAGAAGACTCTTGAGAGTCCCTTGGACTGCAAGGAGATCAGACCAGTCAATCTTAAAGGAAATCAGTCCTGAATATTAATTGGAAGGACTGATGCTGGAGTTCCAATTCTTTGACCACCTGATGTGAAGAGCTGACTCATTGGAAAAGACCCTGACGCTGGGAAAGATTGAAGGCAGGAAGGGAAGGGGATGACAGAGGATGAGATGGTTGGATGGCATCACCAACTCAATGGGCATGAGTTTGAGTCAACATTGAGAGATGTTAGACAGGGAAGCCTGGTGTGCTACAGTCCATGGGGTTGCAAAGAGTCGGACACAACTAAGCAACTAAACAACAGTAGAAGAAACCTTCAGTGCCAAACACACAGAGGTGTTGGCCACCATATGTTGATTTTTAAAGTCAAAGATACAAATTTCTAGTTATAATATAGAATCACTACTATAAATGGTCAGTGATATTGTGATTATGGATATAAATTACAAGTGGCTATAGATTCTTTGAAAGAGGGTCTTATATTTATATGGTTTGCCTGTTTAAACAGGACACCCCACCCAGCCCCATCAAGGTAGAAGTGGAGCTATTTGGTGCCTTAAACCATGGTTTTGGTGTTTCTTGTCTCTGCAGACTCACTGGATCCAGTGTTCCTGACCTCATCGTGAGTATGAGCAACCAGATGTGGCTGCACCTACAGTCTGATGACAGCATAGCCTCGCCTGGATTTAAAGCCGTTTACCAAGGTAAGATCTGAACACACTAAAACCCCCTTTCTCACAGAGGGCAAGGGTCATAATGAAACTGATAAGTGAGAACGATGCTTAAAAATATGGACTTATTTGCAACTTCCTTAGTTATAGTTGTATTTAGAGCTCTTTTCTAAAGCAGGAAATGTTGACTTCTTGAGAGCTTGGCTGGCCATTATGGTGGGAAAATGGAGAGTGACATTAAGAATCATGTGTAAGCGATGGAATATGTTCATACTTGTAGATCTTGGCATTTCTCTCTTCCTAGGAGGAAGTTGTCATGATTATAACTAGGGAAACATTTAGAACAGAGTATAGATTTCAACAGCATCGATTCAATGAAGCTTATTACATGTACAGATGTGTGGGTTTTTTAATGGAGCACAGGGAAATCTCGACAGAGCTGGGGAGGATCTACTAACAACCTCGCTTTGAGAGTTATGACTGTGTTTGCTCTGAAGAAGAGAGGGCTCCTTCGGGGAAGCTGGCTTCATCCCTGAGTTGTGAGATGCTGAGAGTCGCTGTAGTGAAGTAGCTACCGTGCAGGTGACCCAGGGCCCCGTGCTGTGTGCCACCTATGTAAACTGTCTCACTGTTCCACCTACATTCTTTCATCTGGCTGTCCTAAGGAACACATGTGTTTCTGTGACTGCATCAGAGCCTGGTTGGGGCACATGGGGCCTGTTTTGCAGCACTTGGCCTTTCCAGCTGGTGCACCAGCTGCAGTAGTGGTGTCACACGGGTCCTAGAGCACGTGGGCTTCAGTAGTTTGCGGCTCGAGGTTTAGGTACTCCACACCATGTGGGATCTTAGTTCTCTGAGCAGGCCCCTGCGTTGCAAAGTGGATTCTTAACGCGTGGGCCACCAGGGAAGTTCCAGAAACACAACTTTTGTCCGGGGCATATTGATAGCTATCTTTCAAAACTTTTTCTTTAATTTTGAAAAATTTCAAAATGTAAACAGAAGTAGAAAAAATAATAGAATGCACCTGAGGTGACATGCATTTTCATGCTTTTGCAAGACCCTCAGATATTCAGCTACTGACTCAAGCATTGGCTGGAGGCGCGGGACACAGCTACCAAACTCAAGTGCATGTCTAGATTGTCAGCCTCAGCTCAGCCCTGCCTTTCTTCAAGTGTCCGACAACATCGTCTAGGAAATCAGTGATATTTCCTTCTATTAGACACTCCCAAGTAGTTCTAGACTCACAGGAAAATCTTTATCCAATGACAATATCTTTAAAAATCTTAATTATCTCTTCCTTATTCCCAGCAAAAACAGAAGAAATAAAACAAAAACCCTTTCTCACTGCCACCTCTCTAAAAACAAAATCAGCAGCCTGCCCTCTGATTTCAGGTTCTCAGAGGTTTAGTTCATGTAACTCCTTTCTTGTGCACTTTGGTTCTAAAGGTGATGATGAGGCAGCCAGGCAGCCCTAAGCATGTGTCTCAGGCCATCCCAGGATCCATGGGTCGGCGTCTCTTGATTGCTAGAAATGGTAAAGAACTGAGAGTAAGACAAATTAGAAGGGGGATCTGAGACCAGAATAGGAAGAGTGAAAATGATCTTCATGATATTCCAACCTCAAGGCATAGCTGTCGGGAAGCACATTTGTTTTAACTGGCAACAAAATACACACAAGAACACACAGACCATTCAACTGTAGAGCCTTCCTTTCATGTTCTCTGTATCAGTAATTACATCATTTTAACTCAAGAAATAAACGTTTAAGAAGGCTCATGGGCATATTAAATTCTTTTTTTGCGTTTATGCAAAACCAAAGCAGTGATGGATGTACAGCTTGTATCTTCAGCTTAGATCCTTCATGTATTTGACTAAAAGAAATAATGAAATGTGTCCCCAGAAATTATGCAGTGACCTTTCTAATATTAATGATGTTTTATAAATTATTATATAAAACAACTTATTTATAAAAGTTAAAACATTTATATATACTGCTATTTACATATTCTGTGAGCGAGTGAGTGAAAGTCACTCAGTCATGTCCAACTCTACGCAACCCCATGGGACTGTAGCCCACCAAGTTTCTCTGTCAATGGGATTTTCCAGGCAAGAATACTGGAGTGGGTTCCATTCCCTTCTCCAGGGGATTTTAAAGACACAGAGATCAAACCTGGATCTCCTGCATTGCAGGCAGATTCTTTACTGTCTAAGCCACCGGGGAAGCCCTTGCATATACTGACATACTTTAAAAAACCATGACTGATTGAAGTAGTTGTTCAGTAAGTTTGAAAACAGCCTGTTCTCATCTTGAATTCAAGTTATAGTCATGAGAAGCCTTTTCAGGATTGTTTTATACTCTTGTACAAATACCTTGGCACTGATAGTTGATCGAAATTACTAAGAAATTGCATCTTAAACATACAATTTTTACTGATACAGAAAAGATCCACTATTTGAAGGAAACTGCTTATTATAAACCATAATCTAAGAAAATGTAAGTATTCAGAATAAACCATTGTCCCACATAACTATTTAAATTTTCAAAATTTTAGATATTTTCCATAAGTTTCAAAATTCTCAGGAAGTAACAAATTTTAAAGAATTGTAATAAATTAGAAATAGTGGTTATTTTATTTGGATTATTTTACTGTTAGGAGACCCATATAAAGAAAGAGTTTGTAAGTTATTTTCAGAAAAAAATTAGAAAATTGGCATGGGGGAGATTCAGTTGTGGATATTGAAGACTTTTGCACCTATTAGCAGTTTTATTTCAGTATTGCTAATTATCTATATGTACATTTTCTTTGAATTCTTCTTTGATACAGTTTTTTAAATATCTGGCTCCACTGATTACAGAGTTCATTGAAATCTTTGACATGACAAATATGTGCGTACATATGTGAAAATGAGACATACCAATCTGGAGAGCGGGGAGTTTGTCTTATTGCATTTTATTTTATGAATTTGAGCAAAGAAGCAGTGTGCTCTTGTCTTCTAAGTGTCGACTGTTGGGTGTTCAGCAGCTGAAAAAAAAGCAGCTAGTGCTTATTGCTCATGAAACCAAAGGGGCAGGTAATTAAAAGTATTTCCCAATGTCAAAAGCATAAAGCCGGTGGGTGAGGGTGTCTTGAGCCCAACAGTGAAGGCAGCATAGCAGGCTCCACCCTTGCCATGTGAGAGGAAGGGGCGTGACCACGCTGAGAAGTCCTCTGGTGACTAGAGGCCCCTACAGGAGTGTAGTGTAGAATCCTCGTCCACACAGCGTGAAGAGTCCTGCTTGCTGGAAGCATGGGGTGAGGGGGACGTCCTGACTCTTTTTAATAAGAAATGCTACCAAAGCGTATTTGCATCCTATGTGAAGGTGAGGGCTAGAATGAACAGATGATTGCTGAAGACTTCCTGACATTTGGGGTTTTAGAGTTGACCTTTAATTGAACTTCTACGTGACTGCGTTGTTTAAGAAAGTATGCAGAGGTAGAATCCTTTCCACCTGACCTGTGCTTGCTCCTGCCTCTGGTAGAATCTAAACACATCTGTCAAATACCAGACACTCCCCAACAGCAAGTGACTGTGAATTACACCCAGCAGTTCTAAGACTTGTGCCATAAAGACTAGGATAAAGACTTGAGAGAGGAGTGCCACTCCCAAATTGAGGATCCTTGAACATTAACGGATATAAGTGTTCTCAATTACAATCAAATATTCCTCCAGGCATCATGATTCAGTTTGATGACCATACAGCATAAGTTAGAATCACATTCAGTCCTAATTAGTACTCTGCTAACAGACCCGATAGCCAGTTAATAGCTACAGCCTCGGATGTGGTGAAAAAGTGGATGGCCATCAGTTCTCGTGAGAGAGCCAGTCCAAGGCCACTTATTATTTTTTGACAGAGCAATATCCAATAGTTTATAAGATAATTAAAACAGAGAGATAAGGTAAGATTTGAGGATTTTAAAAATTGAGAGAACATCATATATCAAAAGAAAGACATCATACAGACTTAGAGAAGATCATACAAAGTAAAGTAAGCCAGATAGAGAAAGACAAATATCATATGATATCACCTATACATGGAATCTAAAAAATAAATAAAAAAAATACAAATGAACTTATTTACAAAAAAACAATAATAAATTCATAGACACAGAAAACACACTTGTGGTTACCAAAGGGGAAAGGGGGTAGAAGGGATAAATTAGGAGTTTTGGATTAACATGTATATATATTAGTATATACTGACATAAAATAGATAACCAACAAGCATCTGCTTATGTATATATTTATATATATGCACATATATATAAACTATGTATATGTGTATAGTCAGTTTATGCTCACTCTGCTGTACACCTAAAGTAACATGACATTATGCTTCAATTAAAAATAAAGTAGAATCAACAACTTAATTAATTTAAAGAAAAAAAGATGTCCTTGAAACTGTTATTTCCAGAGTGCTATTAAGCTTGAAATTGGCAATAAAATAAAAACATTTTGTACAGGTGATCATCAAATTTATGGTGGTGGTTTAGTCACTAAGTTGTGTCTGACTCTTGTGACCCCATGGACTGTAGCTGCCAGGCTCCTCTGTCCATGGGATTTCCCAGGCAAGAACACTGGAATGGGTTGCCATTTCCTTCTCCAATCAAGTATATAAATAATCACATTATTTGACTGAAAATGTAGTTGTCTATTATATGACCAGAAAATATATACTAGTCCTTACATGGGTTCCACTTTCTAGGTTTTAACTGTGCGTGTAACGTTTGTTGTAATAGTTCAGGATGTGGCTCTGAAGCCAGACTGCCCAGGGCTGTCATTCTATCACTCAGCTGGTAACTTAGGGTGAGCTGTCTAACCTCCCGTGTGTCAGATTCCTCTTAAAAAAAAAAATAAGGGAGAAAATAATAATGATACTAAGTGAAACTAGTGACTCAGTGGTAAAGAGTCCGCCCGCCAAGCAGGAGATTAGTTCTGGATCCCTGGGTAAGAGAAAGATTCCCTGGAGAAGGAAATGGCAACCCACTCAGTGT